GTCATCATCCAGTGCCTTATTTTTGTAAATCTGGTTCCAACCCAATGCATACCAAAATATCCTAATAAATGTTTGTTGTATGAACTAAGTGAATGAAGCTTTATCTTTTTCTCCATCTCCCCTTCTCAATTTCTTCCCTCTTCTGACAGTATCCCACAATCATGAGTCATCACCCAGTCTAAGGACATGTTAGTCATATGATTTAAGAATTCTGATACCACAAAGATGGCCACTCAACCCAAAGGTTAAATCAGTGAAGTCCCTAAGCAGACAGCACAATTTTCCAGCAGAATCTCAAGTCCAAAAGAAGAATCTCTTGCAAGCAAGATCTCATGTCTTTCTGATTAATTGTTGTTGGTTTCTGTTTGGTTTGGGGTTTTTGTTTGTTTGTTTTTGGTCTTTTTAGTCATTCTCTCATAGATTTCTAAAAGTATTACAAGGCACCTTTATCCTCAGCAGGCCCAGTCTAGTCTTAACTTGGACCCTTTAGCATAGAACAGGTTTCACCACTAAGATGTCTCCATCAAAGTATATGAGATGTCTGGGGGCAAAGACTTTATTCTGTAGAGGCTCCTTATATAGCTAATGTTTCCCTGGAATATTCCTTGAAGCATTGCTCATCTTAGGACTAATTGACCTTAAACCTTACTTAACCTTATTATGATACTCATCATTCAAACAACATTTATTTAGCACCTACTTTATGCTGCATACTATACTAGAGCTCTGGAAACATCACCCATAATGTATCTTACTTGCCTGAACTGACCTGTCACCATAGTCTAAATGATACCATGTTTGACAACCACGATAGTAGGGCATGACTGTACCTGGCCCCTAGTTAGCCCGTGCCAGGACCTGGACCCACATGCCTGCCTGCATCTTCCAGCCCCCAGTGGAAGGAATACTGTAAATTTATCTCAAGAGTTGCCCAGCTGAGACTAGAGCATTTAATCACTTCCCTCTTTCTCTAACCCCTATTCCCTTTCTGTCAATCTTGTTTTTTTAAAATTTCCTTTACTTAACATCTATGAAATTAAACATTTTATTTCTTTCTCCCTCCTAAAAAAAAAAAAAAAGTCAAACATTATCATATATGGCTCTCGATACTTTCTCTGTGTGTCTGCAGCTCTACAGAGAAAAAAGTATTTCCCATTTGTTATGGTTAATTTTAGGTGTCAACTTGACTGGGCTGAGGGATACACAAATAGCTGGCAAAGCATTATTTCTGGGTATGTCTGTGACAGTGTTTCCAGAAGAGACTGGCATTTGAATCAGTGGACTAAGATGATCAGCCCTCACCCAGTGTGGGTGGGCACCATCCAATCAGTTGAAGGCCCGGATAAAACAAAAAAGCAGAGGAAAGGCAAATTCTTACTCTTTCTCTTCTGGAGCTGAGACAACCTTCTACCTTCGGACATCAGAACTCCAGATTATCCAGTCTTTGGACTATGGGACTTACACCAGCAGCCTCTAGGTTCTCTCAGGCCTTCATCCCTAGACAGATATACACTACTGGCTCCACTGGTTCTCAGGTCTTTGGACTTGGACTGAGCTATGCCACCAGCTTCTCTGGTTCACTAGCTTGCAGATGGCCTATTGTGGGGCTTCTCAGCCTCCATATTGGTGAGAGTCAATTCCTATAATAAATTCTTTCTCATATATCTACATATCTATATATCCTACCGGTTCTGTTTCTCTGGAGAACCTTGACTACTACACCATCCCTGCTTTATTGGCACTTTCTTCTATTACAGATTCAATGCTAAATAACTGGGGCACGTGACAAAACTCTTTAGTCACAAGTCACAAGGTGTAAGAGAAAGCCCAGCACTTGGTGCAAACTGAACCTAAGCAAACAGAAAACACTCTTCTGTCAAAGTAAAACAATGATATAATCAGAACTGAAAGGGCACCCTGGAGTAGTGAGAAGGAAAAACTTGAAGAAAATCTGGGGCAGGGTATCTTCCACACCACATAAAGTGGATCATCTAACACTGTAAATCCTACTAAATAGTCAAGAACCAATTTATAGGCAGGAAGTGTGTGGAAAACATGATATTCAAGGTCCAAATCTTTTCTGATCATTTCCAGCTCGGGGTGAGAACTCCAACCTCTGAACTTCTATAATATATATGTGGTACCAAATCCAGACTTGTTCTTGAAATGCTTATCTCAGTTGCTAGAAGTTAAATTCTTTGGTTTCTTATTTCATCTTTATAATTCCATTTATAAGCATACATGGTATAATCTACTAGACATAACCTCTGGTTTTGTAATTTACAAACTGTATGACCTTGGGCAAATCAAATACTCTATGCCTCAGTTCTACACCTGTAAAGTGGGGATAATAACAGTATCTACCCCCTAATGTAAACAGTCCCTAAACAGTGCTTAGCATAATGCCTACTTCACTACGTTTGAGGTAGGAGTGGTAGTCAGGGCTAGTTCTTTATATACTCTTTAGCCTTGCTACTCAAGTGCAGACTAGCAGCATCAGCATCACCTGGGAGCTTGTTAGAACTCTTGGGGCCTACCCCACACCTACTGAATCAGATTTTGAATTGACAAGATCCTAGTGATTAGTGTGCACAATAATGCTTCATAAGCACTGCTCTACAACACCCAGACTTGCTCACAATGGAAAAAAAAAAAAACCCATAAAGTCTTTTACTTAATAAATGTTCTTACCTGTTTAGCTGCGACAGGCATATTTTAAAAACCAATCTCATGTATCTACCCTGCCATTTTCTGGTGTTAATTAGCTTTCCTTAGGTAAGGTGTCCTACTGGAAGAGTATACTGACATCATGTTCTTAGCAATTATATTTATCATTTGAAAATAGTTTAAGTGTGGGCCGGCCCGGTGGCGCACTGCTACAGTGCGCCGCTTGGGAGTGCAGTGGCGCTCCCGCCGAGGGTTCGGATCCCACATACAGACCGGTTCCCGCTCACTGGCTGAGCGAGGTGCGGGTGCA